TCTATAATTCAGGTAATTTCATTGATTAAAAGTTGCGCGTTCATTGAAGGAATTTAAAACTGCTATGTCTGTCAAATATTCAGTTATTATTTTTACGTTTATTTATTATGAAGAACTGTGAGGTTAATGATGATACGTTTTGTATTTCTGTTGAGAAAATTTTTTGGCTGTTCATATCTGTTGTTATTTTTGTATTTTCATTGCTGCATGTTATTCAGCAAGTTTCAGCGATGATTCGTACTTGGTTATGACGAAGAGAAAACAGAAATATATATTTTATTAAAATGTTCAGGTATACTGTTTACCGGTTTACCGTTTTAAATTAAGCATTCCTAATATGGCAAATTGTAAATTTGCATTAAGTATGAGGATTGAAAATTTTTATTACTTGTTCTCGCTTTATTTGCTACTTCGTCTGAGGTTTCAGGCTAATGTATCTGATAGAACATTTCTTTTGTAGAACCGTGATGAGCGAATGCAAATTGCGCGTGGAAGATTATGGTTATATACGTGTGCATTTTGTTGCTGTATCAAATATCTTATTCTGTCGGAAATTAGTCGATAAACTTTTGCCATAAAATAATGCTAGAAAATGAAGTTTTCGATATGCTAAAAAATGATATTCATCGACGATGACATTCAAGCTGAACATTCAGGTTTCGTTTTAATATTAACCTTATGTTCATTCATTTGCCATAACTGAAGATAGTCTAGGACAAAGTGGTTAGGGATAATATAAAGTATTTCCTTTGTTGAATATACATTTTTTCAGCTCTGGTTTGAGATGCGGCGCTGTCTTTCGTCCTATGCACTGCAAGTACTTAAACACCGTGGAGCCGTCTCTTGCTTAAATGGACCCCTTAGGCTCTAGAAACAAAGGAGGCGGTGCAATAATGTTGCTGGTGTAAAGCGATAAATATATATTTCTTTTTTTCTCTCTTTACACTGCATTTTTGCCGTTTCAATCCAGCATCAGTATTTATAATGTGAAAAGTATTTTATGAATTTGTTTTAGATTATACATTTTAGGAAAGATTTGATGGTGGTTTTTCATTTAAATTTTATGTTTAGCCATTTGGAGTGGTAGTTTAATTGGTCAAGACTGGTTAAGTAGGCATCATTTAAATTAAGATTACGTGCCCACCTCCAAATGCTACTGATGTTTAAGATGTTTTTATTATCATGAATTCAAGGAACGGTTGGAGCATGAAGCTGAAATTGTGCTGAGACATGATCACTTGAAACCAACTTTTGTTACCGATGAGATCCAATGTTCAGCAGTACCTATTCGATTATTTCATCTTCGCAAATTTTTGATGACTTGCTTAGAATTTAAGTCGACTAAATCCGTTATCAGTTTGAGCTCACTGGTGATGAAGAACCATCTTTGAAATCAAGTAACGTGTATAGAGTGGCTCCATGGCAACATATTGTGTCAAAATTTGAAATGGACTTTTATTTTAAATATGAGATTATGCTATTTCGTGGTTCAGGAAGAAGAAGGCAAACTTTCACACGAATGCATATGTAAGTCTCTATTTTAAGGAGTCAGAGATTCGAAGCTATAGTCTTAGATAAACAAATCTGTTTGAATATACTAAACATGCGTATAAAATAGCGGCACTAGTCGCCATCAACCAGTTATCCGGGTTCTGTCGTCGCCGAAGCTAATCACACGTCGTGTGTTCTGTAAGGGGCACCGTTTGAATACTAACATTCTTTAAAAATTGACACTTTCGATCGGGCGACAGATAGTGAATCGGAATAGGTGATTTTTACCCATTTCTGTCTTCAGCATTTTTGCA